TAGTAACTAAAGAAATTGATTAAAGGGCTAAATATGCGAGGGATTTCGATATTAATTGAACATATTTACATATAATATATTAAAAATACTAAAGGAAATTACATATTTCTTTATAAAATATATTGGGAGTGCTTCAAAAATATCTTTGGTTTTAAAAACCCACTCAAAAAGATGTTAGGAATTAAGCTTCAAACTAATTTTTAACTGAATTTGTTGGCTAACAATTTCATAGCATACTTTTTGACACCTTCTTGAAGAAGGGCTTAAAAACCCTTGTGATTTCTGTAGAGTTTAATAGCCATTTCCCCTGACTAAGGCTAATACCTTAATTCAGAGAAATTGTCTACTTAACTAAAGTGTTTAAACAAATGCAACAATTGACCCAGAAAAGGATATGACTTGTTTGGATCAACTGAATAAAATGACTGGCTTATTTATTTATTTATTTATTCACTTGTGCCTTTGTAGTGGACGACGAGTGGCCTGTCGGAGGCACAGCACAATTGATGTTGTGATAAAATGCCATTAAAATGGGGTCAAATGGGTGTTTATTTGGCCCACACACAGGCGCCACTTTTAGTCAATTAGCCGAGCAGATGTTTTCGTGTTTTGTGTAGTTGCAGTTTTTAGTTTTTAGTAGGCTCTCCCCTCTCTCTCCTATACAGTTTTCCGCTTTTCCGTTTTCCGTTTGCCAATGCCCATTTTTCCGATTCTAGTTTAGCCAGCTGTGACACGAACATCACAATTGACCCAGAGTCGTGTTTGGTAGTTATTATTATGATTATTATTACTATTTTTTACTTTATTATATATATTTTTGACTGATTTTCGAACTGGAAGAGGCCAGCATTTATTTATGATTTCGATGGATTACTATGGAAAATTAAAAACATAACGGCAAATAAATAATGCACACACACATAAACACACCCGGTGGAAAATCAAGCGAAATTATTTATTTAAATTTTTGTTTTCCCTGCCTGCCTTGTTTTTTTTTTTCGTTTGTTGTACAAAACAATAAGCAAATTGTTCATCTATTTATATCTGTTTGTTGTCCTTTATTGTATTTGTATTATGTATTTGCATTCAATTTTCGATCATTTCCTGTACACTCCCCAGTGTCCTCAATTAGATATATATATATAAATGGAATATTATATATATATATATATCTTTATATGTATGGATTTTGGGTAATTTATTTATTAGCGCACTCAATAACGAGAGTCAAGAGACACGAGAGGGCGGAAAATGCAAAAGGAAATGAAGCTGAAACCTCAGTTGCATTTTCAATTATTTGTGCATGTGCTAAATACTTGGCTTCCGTATAAGGGACAACAATTTCCAAATTCGATTGCTTGTGCCAGGCAAACAAATGAAAGGCCCAACTCGACCCGAATTTCCACCCAATTTTCCGAGCAACACACACACACACACACACAGAGTCTCAAAAGGGTGTGGAAACCTTGGGATTTTCGGGTTTAATTTAAGTGGGAAATTGCTGTCAAGTTGGTTTTGAAAGCTCAAGGAAAGTATATAAAATCATATACTATTTACAGATTATATTCAAAGAAACCCCTTTCGTATTTAAACCCAAAACTTATCTGTTTAGTGTTCCTATTTAATTCAGCTTTTTAATATGCAATTTAGAGTTGAAAATTTCCGCACCTGTTAACGAGTTCGAACCATCAATTATTTCTGATCTTGATTGGCACTCATCAGAAGTACGTTGTAGTTTTTTTTCCGACATCGCCTGCTCGAAGGCATTAGCTTCAATTTGCATTATTTTTCGGGCGGGGAAAACCCGTGTGCTGGACCTGGACCGGGGTCTGGATATGAGGGTTCCGTGAGAGGTTCGCATCATGCCACATTACCATTCATGAAATGCAATTTCGCAGCCAAAAGGATACACAAAACACAAACGCACATAGATACAAAGTGCCCACTACACATACACACAAGGGTGGCAAGCAAAGTGCCTTTTTATACCTCACACACACCCATAAATGGAGCACAAGGATATGTGCGAAAATATCTAAAAAGTATCCAGAATTTCTTAGATACTGAAATATGAAAATATAGAATTTATTTCTCTGAAATATATACTTTTAACCTACAAATACCCAGCAAAAAAGATATATCAATCCCTTAAAAATATCCAGAATTTCCTAGATACTGAAATATGAAAATATAGAATTTATTTATCTCTAAAAAATTGCTTTTAAATATATACTTTTAACCTGGAAATACCCTGTAAAAAAGATATATCAGTCCCTTAATATAATCTTTATAAAGATTTGCCGAAAAGTTCCTCAAAGACTGGAAACTTCAAGTAATTGCTTGGATTTATTCTAATTTTAATACTTTTTAGGGTATTCCTTGGGTCTAATATATTTCTATTGGTCTATGCTGAATTTCTACTTGTTTTGCTTCAATGATTTTTAGGCTCACCGCATTAATGTGCGTGCGTCAGGCTTTGTATCTGTGTTTATTAGAGTGTTGCTCGGTTTCTCTATGTGTGTGAGTGAGTGTCCGTCTCTCTGTATTGATATGCATATGGAAATAGCTGAGTCCGTGTGTGTGTGTCCTCGTGTATCCTGGTGTGTCCTGGTGTGTGCGAGTGGGCGATGGCCTCCCCTCAATTATGTATGCATGCGTATTAGGCAAAAAGCGGCAAAGTTTTCTGCCTTGCCGCCGCACGAAAAAGAGAGTGTGGCGAGTGCACAGAGAGAAATGGAAGTAAATTTGTCAAAGAAAATATTTAAAAATAATCAAAAAGTAAGAAACTTTAAATGGCATAAGTCGCAGTTTTGAATAATTTAAATTTTCTGATTAAAATGTTATATAGATTACATTGTTATAATATTGGCAATACCTGAACATATTTCATTTACATTAAAAATACCAAATAACAAGATAGAAAACTATTTTTAGAATCCAAATGTTTATATACCCTTGCAGTTAGCAATTAAATAACAGAATTCTACAGAAAATTTCAGTATCGATATCTTATATGACAATTTTTTCGACAAAACCAAAATTTTAAAAACTCATAACTAAGCCAAAAATGCATTAATTTTAATTCGGTAAGCTGTTAAATGTTAATTTTTATCAGGATAACAAATCTGCATACTCAATTTACAATTTAAAATAATTAAAGTTTTTGACAATTTTTTTTAAATTTAACTTCTAATAAAATGCTGACAAAAATTGGCTTAAAAAAATTTTTTTTTTTATTCTGCCGAAAATAGCTAGATCGATTCGTCTTTTTGTGCTGATCAATAATATATATGATTTATAGGGTCGGAAATGACTCCTTCATGAGTTACAAGCTTCTGAATAAAATTACAATACCATTTTTTTAATCGATATTTATGGATAATATTATATGAAAATTTTTTTGAAAAATCAAAGTTTAAAAAATTCAAAACTTAGTCAAAAATGCATTAATTTCAATTCAAAAAGCTGTTCTGTGCTAGTTTTTTCAAGGCTAACAAATCTGCATACTGAGTTTTATAATTTATTAAAATTAAATTTTTGTCAAATTTTGCCACTTAAAAATATAAAATTTAGTCATAAAATTTCGAAAATAAGTTCGAAAAAATTATTTTCTCCCAAACATGTCTAGATCGATACAGTTTTTGATACTGATCAATAATATATATGATTTATAGGGTCGGAAATGACTCCTTCACTTAGTTTTGAGCTTCTAGCTAAAATTATATGGCCATTCAGGGGTATACAAATTGAAGACTTATTAAATAAGAACAAAGATAATGAAAACAATCAGTTAAAAATATATTATAATAGATAATACTAATACTTTTAATTTGTCTGAGAAGAATAACTTTTAAAATGTATCGATACATTAGAAAACTGAACCTATCGTTTAATATCGAAATATCGAAATTAAGACATAAATATACAAAATATATTTGAACTCATATATTCATTGAGCTTGGAATTTAGAAAATAGAAATACAACTATCTCTGAATTTTAATAATTTTAGGATATAGGAACAAAATGAAAAACCTATTCTAAAATAGCATCAAAATAATCAAAGTTGCTGTTCTCAATCTCTATAAAATGATATATGTTTATTATATCAAGCATATATATTATTATTATTATTATATAAAGCTTATATTACTTTGACTTCTTGTATATTTTTTTGACCAGTGTATGAAAGGGAAAATAGGGATTTGGAATAGGGTATAGGAGGCATGGTGATGCAGAGTGGTCGCTGGCAGGCCTGTTAATTAGCGTGGCTCAAACACACACACACAGAAACACACACACAACACACAGGCATAGACACAAAATGCGGCAACGGCAACAAAATGCTACAAATGCGACCAACTTTGCCTGATAATGAAAATCGAGTTCGTTGTCGTGGCGAAAAGTTTTTGCGAAAAACTTTCATCAAAGGTTACAATTTGTGCCAGGCAGGCCTTTTGTCTACCCCTCCTCGCCCCGCCCCGCCCGCGGGTGAAGCGCAAGCAGGGAGGGAGGGAAGGGGGAGGGACTGAAGCCTGTCATGGACACCTGATTATATAATTACCTGGCGGAGTTGTTTTCGTTGTTTAGCGCTGCTCTCGTTGATGTTGTTTGATGCTTTCAACTTGGTTGCCTTCGGTCTGTTTTCATTTAATTTCCTTTCCCTTTGCCCCGACTTTAATTGTTTGTTATGCCGCAAATTAAAAATTGCAACATTTACGCTCAATAAACTATAGGACACCCCAATCTATACTAATTCCAAGTATTAGTATTAGAAATAATTCAAATTGTCATTTTTTTTTTGCAAGTATTCTAGGTTCAATGCTTAAGTTTTTAGAAATGAAACCAATTTTTAGACCTCTTAAGAAACTAGACCAATAAAATATCTTCAGTGGTTATATCTATCTATCTATTTGTTGTGTAACTATCTCAATTTTATACTCACAAGCGGAGCTGAGAAAAATCTAGCTAATTAATTATAAATTCCATGTTTTTGCAAGTCAACGAATATTTTTATTGAAGGCCCCTTTTTGCTATTCCTAATTTGCCTTTCACGATCGATGACTAATTTTGTTCATTTATAAAAAATATAAAGTATTGAGAAATTGTTATGAGGGACTTAGATGGGTGGCAAGTAGAAATCCCTCTGAACGCCATCGTCGTCCTTTCCATCCTGGACTGAAGTAGTAATAGTAAGGGGATTCCAATAATCCCGGCGCATCCGAAAATTGAAGAATGTCCCTTTTTAATTCATAAGTTTGCCCAAACGAAGAGATCATGAAAACTTCATTATCCTGTATTTCGTTGCTCTGTATTTCCTCCGAGTTTGATTCTGAATCCATCATGAAATCGTCGTTGTAATAATACTGCACTTCCTGCCTCGTATTGAATTCTACTTTTCTTGCCTTGTCTGTTACTTTGGTCGTTGTTTCACCTTGAGGCTTTAATTTGATCGAAGGTTTCCTCTTGGTTAAAAGGCTCGACAAGTTTAGTGGTATTTCCGGTTCCTCTTGCATTTCCAGGTTCATCATTATCCGGTGTTCATCGAGAATATCTTGCACTTTCATCTCCGATTTAGGATCTTCCTTCTTATATGAAATTTCATCCAAGAACTGAGTGTTATCCTGAAGCTTTGCTTTGATCGTAGGCTTCATCTTGCACAATAAACGTGACACCTTTATAGGCACTTCTTGTTTTATTGGCATTGGGTCTTCTTCGAGAACATCTTGCACTTTCTTATCCGATTTACAGTCTTCCTTCTTATTTGAAAATTCATCTAAGAACTGTGTGTTATCCTGTAATTTTGTTTTGATCGCAGGCTTCATCTTGCACAATAAACGTGACACCTTTATAGGCTTTTCCGGTTCCACTTGCATTGGGACTTCTTCGGGAACATCTTGCACTTTTCTCTCCGATTTAGGATCTTCCTTCTTATTTAAAGTTTCATCCAAGAACTGAGTGTTTTCCAGTAGCTTTGCTTTGATCGTAGGTTTCATCTTGCATAAAAGACGTGACACCTTCATTGGTACTTCCGGTTCCATTGGCATTGGGTCTTCTTCGGGAACATCTTGCACTTTCTTATTCTCCTCCTTGTCTGCAATTTCGACCAAGGAGGACTTTGTCTCGGTCAAATTCTTCCTGTTGGCTGAAATACGCGATGTCTTGGGCTTAATGGGCTTCGCAATTTTCTTCTTTTCCGCTTGCTTAATCTTCGCTTCATAGATTTCTTTGAACGTCTTAATGAACTCGAAATTATGCTTGAATCGACCCTGGATGAGGTAATCGATGGGCACCAGCTGCTTGATGTCCATGTATTCAAAGGCATCCTGCAGGAGGCACAGATTGTCCTCGTAGTCATTCTTCCCCGTGGGCATCATCTTCACCTGCTTCAGGTTGATGCAACTGGGGCAGATCTGACTCATCATCCGGCAGTAGGCAACTCCGGTGCACAGATCCTCGACGTGCCTTACTTCACTATGCTGGAGGTTCTTGTTGATCCAGGCAACGATTTCGTATCGGGAAATATTTCCACTGTTGCGGAGAGTCCTGATGTTGCTTGAAGACATGTTGAATTCTTCTTTATTATTATTTATTTCAAAAAATATATATATTTATTTATCGGATATATTTCCTTTTATATGTGTACTGTTATGCGTACACTATTTGGGATGCTTTACGTTGTGAAGTTGGAGTAATACTGATTCTGCTGATTTACTTGGGTTGTGACGTTTTTGACTGAAGGAAGTCCCGGTTACTTGGTTTCTGATTTTGTTGGAAACATCTTACTATAGCTTTCAACTTTGGTAGTGTGTCCTAAAGCCTCTTGTAGAGATCGTTGATCATTTATTTGAACATCCGCCTGAAGACAGCACCGCACCTTTTCCTCTGAACGGAAGGAAGTGGCAGCAAGTGGAGAATATAGAATAAACTATAGTCGGAGCATAAAAGCCAGCCAGGTCAACGGAACTGGTCCCTGTGTCTGAGTGCCGGCTGCCTTGGGAAAATGCATAATAAGAAAATCAGGAACAGGAAAAGCCACCCCTACAGACTCTTGCTTGCTGTGCGCCACTTAATTTACTTTAAAGTCCTGCCTGAAGGAGGCACAGGACGAAGGAGGAGGAGAAGGAGCAGTCAGTCTGCGATGGAAGCACTTCTCCATTATGCTCCGAGTGAATTTTCAAAAGGGGGGAAATCTCTTATTTGTATTTGTTAAGAAGGAAAACACTCCCATCTCGATACTCAATTCAATTAAATATCAATATGTATTTACCTAAGGAATTTAATACTTTAATACGGAAAAGCTGAATTAATGCATTATTAAATGCAATTAAAATTAGGTAAAGTCTCTGCTGATTGGCATTATTCTTTAAAATTTGACATGAACATTTCCCGATATATATACTCAATCGTTTTTTTCGGACAATCGATGTCATTGATTGATGGCCTTGAGTTGAACTGTCTTTATTTTCTCTCCGGTCGCCTGTTTTCCATCTCTTGGCCTTTGTCCACTGCACTTGTTTCCTTATTTGTTTGCCTGTCTTCGTGCTGGGAAAACAATCTTTCATGCCTTCTGGGGAAAATAAGGAAAACGCTGACATTTAAATATTTTATGAGACCTAAAATCGAAGAAAATGAAAACCCCGATAAACTGCTACGAAAATTTCCAACAAATTTGTTTCTCTCATACAATTTTTTGTTTCCTTTGCCTTTCTTTTTATTTTACTTTATATTTCTATATTTTTTTCCTTTTTTGCATTGACTTTGACTGAAATTGCGCGTAAATATGTCAAAGGAAAAACGTTGGAGGAAGTGAGGTAGGAAAACGGTGTATAAAAATAGATGAAAAATCGAGGAAGGACTAGAGGGAAAAACTTGGCACGCAGAGTGTGTGGCTTATGGGGCTTGCCTTAGCACTTATTCAATCAAAATCAAAATAAATAAACATGAACTCTCTGTGTCTCTTCTATAAATATATCCCCCCCTTAGCCGGTCTCTTGGGGAACCATTGTCATTGTTGTACATTAAGTGAATATTGCGTATACGACGCGTGCTCCATCCTCTTGTTCCTGTTCCTTATTCCATCCTGAATTCATTTCAGGCCCCCACGATTGGTAAGCAAACAGCGGGATAAACTGTAAGTCGCATATATATAAAAATGCAACTCGGCCAAATTGAGTCGAATCTTCATTGATTTTCTCCTTGTTTCTTCGCTGTTTTCCTTTGTAATCCGAGTGCAGGCAATAAAATTGTTTCACTTAATGCCTGGCTCTGAGTATCGTGGCGGGGAGAAAGAATGTTTCTCTAGGAAAAAGTAATAATAAAGAAAATCAAGGGAATATCGGTAGAAATATTTGTTCTTTAAAATACTTGATTTAAATGAAGGAAGAGTCTTTACGTTTAAGAAAAAGTTTATGATTGTTTTGGAAGGCAGTGTTTGTTTTTTGGGAAGTGTTAGAAGTTTAAGATATTGTGTTTTTTGTAAATTTTTCACCCGAATATTAATTTTAAGTTCAAAGATCCACAAAAATACAACAGAACAGTTTTCCAAATTAAAAATTAAAGAATTTTAGTCCCAAACATGATCGATCTCTGACCTTTTTTCAGTGTATACAAACTTCGGCTTTCCTTTCCTGTTTAAGAAATTTCAAAGCAAACGAAAATTGTGGCAAACATTTTGGTTTTTCTCTTCTTTTTTTTGACAGCCTTCAAATATTATTAGTAGCAAAATGTTTTGCGCTTCAATGTTGATTATTTCCTTTTTGGACTTTTCTTCCTCTAGATTTGATTCGATTAGACTGTTCGTGACCAGTTTTTCCTTAGTTATATATATTTTTTCCCATAATATACAAAAGCGAGTGGAAGTTTATATAAGTCATGTATTTGATTTGCTTGCAAAGGGTCAGAAGTTTATTTATTCGGACGGCTGGAAGGAAAGGCCAATTGTGTTTTATTAATCGAATTGCGGCTTATTTGTGCGCTGACCAAGCACATTTTATTACTTGTATATTTATTATGGCAAAAGTAAAAAGCAAAATATATAAATATATATTTTTTATATTGTAATAATTAATTTTTTTGTGGAGCCAATTTAGATGCCATTGACATGCAATCGCTTTATCTCTTTTTTTGATTATTCCGACAGAGTATTTCCAATTTCGTTGATACTTTTTTGTTGTCCGTGCAGACTTGAACGTATTTTCCACATATTCTTTTTGACACTGAGAGAAAATTGGTATTAAGGGAAGCTAAAGAAATTATGATTTTTATATTGCTATTTTTTATACCAATCAAAGCTTAAAAATCTCATAACTATTCCAAAAATGGATTAATTTTAAATCGGAGAGCTGTCCAATGTTGCTTTTTATTAGTTTTATAAATCTGCATACTCAGTTAAAAATGTTAAAAAATTCATTTTTCTTTCTTTTTATTTTGCCAAATTTAAGATGAAAAATTTGGAAAAAATTTCGAAATATTTTTTTCTGCCAAAGATGTCTAGATCGATTCGGCTTTCAAAGCTGATCAAGAATATATATGATTTATAGGGTCGAAAATGCCTCTTTCCCAGCTTTTGAGGCTTCAGACTAAAATTATATTACCGTTTTTCAACCGATATTTATCGATATTTTTATATGCAATTTTTTCGACAAATCAAGGTCTAAAAAACGCATAACTAAGCCAAAAATGCATTAATTTCAATTCGGAAAGCTGTTCTATGCCAGTTTTTACAGGGTTAACTTGCATATTAAGTTTTAAAATTAACAAAACTACAATTTTTGTCAAATTTCGACAGTTAAAAATATAAAATTTAGTCATAAAATTTCGAAAAAAAAATTTCTCTCAAGCATGTCAAAATCGTTTCTGCTTTTTATGCTGATCAAGAATATATATGATTTGTAGGATCGGAAATGTCTCTTTCAAACGTTGCGAGCTTCTGAATAAACTCATAATTCAATTTTTTTTACTGATATTTATTAATAATTTTCTATGACAATATTTGCTACAAATCAAAGTTTAAAAAATTCATAACTAAGCCAAAAATATATTAGTTTTGATTCGGAAAGCAGCCGTATGCTAATTTTTATAAGATTAACAAAACTGCATATTTCGTTCTTAAGTTTTACTAAATTTAAAATTTGCCAATTTTTCACCATTTAACAATATCAAATTTAATCACAAAATTAAAAAAAAAAAATTAAAAAATTTTTTTCTCCCAAACATGGCTAGATCGATTCGGCTGTTCATGCTGATCAAGAATATATATGATATATGGTGTCGGAAATGACTCATTCATGAGTTACAAGCTTCTACATAAAATTATATTACCATATTACATTATATTTAAGCCGATATTTACCGATATTTTTATATGACAATATCTAAGCTCAAAAAAAATCATAACTAAGCCAAAAATGTATTGATTTCAATTTGGAAAGCTTTCCCATGTTAGTTATAATTAGATTAAACAATCTGCATATCAATCAATTCAATTTAAAATGTAAAAAATATACATTTTTTCGATATATATAATTTTTTTTTTTTCAAATTTACAATGAACAATTTAGAAAAAATTAAAAAAAAATGTTGTTCTGTCTGAGATGGCTAGATCGATTTGGCTTTTAATGCTGATCAAGAATATACGTGATTTATAGGGTCGGAAATGATTCACTCATGAGTTACAAGAGTATACAAAATGTTTGAATATGAAAATATCGCTATATTACAATTTCTGAAGCTTAGTATCGAAATTTAAAATATATTTTATTAAAATCAGTGTTAAAATATAAATTAATATTTTTTCTTCAGTGCTAATTTGTTTTTGTTTTTCGCGTCCTCTCTTGCCGCATTGGCACACAACTCACGCAGTCGAGTGTCCTTGCCTGTTATTGTTATGGCCGTTATGGCCATCTCATCCCGTTCCGTCCTGTCCTGGCCTCGTCCTGCTCCCCTTCCTGCTCCCCGTCCTGCTCCCCGTCCTGCTCCTCGTCCACCTTCACCCAGTTCATCAATCATACGCAACGTTGGCACGTGCAGCAGAGCGTTAACAGTGCAGGAGATGGACAAGGGGAGACGGGGGGAGGGTTCAGAAGGCCTGGCCATATTTCCTGTGATAGTGTCATAACGTTGCCCTAATGAAGCGTCTCAGTTTTGCTGCCGGGTGTCGTCCATAAGCTGGATGTGACTGCAATCGCCAACAATTACAAAACTTTCAAGTTTTGTAGTCCGCGCGCTAAATCCAATCCTCGTCCTCGTCCCTGGGAAACCCCTGAAAAGTTGGCGGATTAAGCCGGCGAGCGATACGAAGCACAAGTGGAACTTGTTCAGGAGGAGCGGTAGCAGCAGGACGACGACGAGGACGACGATGTCGAGTCCATAAAGTTGCACAAAAAATTGTTTCGAACGAACATTTTGCGGGCGCTGAGAAAAGTTTTATCTAACCGAAAAGAAAGTGGGCGTGGCGCCGCGGCCTGTCGCATTCTGTTTAAAGTTAATATTTACATGCCACGAAGGGGTGCCACTGCCATCGCTGCCACGTACCCGTTTCAGTCGTCCTTTTCGTCCTGCCAGTTCCAGGAGCAGCAGCAGCAGCAGCAGCAAAAGTAGCAACAAATTCTTGTCATTTGCAGCTGCGAGACAAGACAAGGACGACGGCACATCAAAAGGGGATCAAGGCGGTGTGCACTTGAAAAAAAACAAGGG